TGATACAGAAAATATCCTATTTTTTAAGTCATCACATATGGATTGTAATTTGGATACAGGAAAAGTATTTTTTTATAGTTCTGCCTTCAAAGAGGATGGGAGAAGTTTGATGCGCAAGGTGACTCATAGCTTTTTTTTTTCCATCCTCATTTTGTGTGATCTTAGGGAAAAAAAACCTCTCCATCTCTATAGTGATTCAGTTGAGCATTTTTGATCATGCATTTATAGTTTCTCTGTCAACAAATACTTTTTATAGTGCTTCCTAGATGTTACGACATAAAAATTGTCCGGCTACTGATTAAACACTTGCCTTATAATTTTGGAAGAAAGCAAGTTTTCTATTGTATACTTTTTATTAACATGAATATAGTGGCTCCAAAGGGCTGGACTGGTGAATGGCATTCCCCCAAGTGGTGAAGCAGGGCATAGGTAAGCTGTCAGACAGCCATACGCCAGTCACCAGAAAATGACTGAACGCGGCACTCTTTCTTCATATGTGGCATTTCCATATTTCTTTATCAAGCTCGTGTCATGTTTCTACTTACCTGCATTACAAAATTTTCTTTTGTGGAGAGCATGGGATTTGGCCATGCATTTTATAAAAGCATGTTTGTAATTAATTAAGTAACTTTACTCCTTAGAAATCACAAGAGGCCATCATTAACCTTGATTTTGGGCTCTGGCAAATAGCATGGATAAGGAGGCAGAGGAGGTGATGGCAGAGCAGTCAGGGTAAGACAAGGGCTTAGGCTGGGTGCGGTGGCTCACGCCTGTAATCCCAGCACTTTGGGACACCAAGACAGGTGGATCACTTGAGGTCAGGAGTCCAAGACCAGCTTGACCAAGTTGGTGAACCCCTATCACAATAAAAATACAAACATGAGCTGGGCGTGGTGGCACACACCTGTAGTCCAAGCTACTCAGAAGGCTAAGGCAGGAGAATCGCTTGAACCTGGGAGGCAGAGGTTGCAGTGAGCCAAGATCTTGCCACTGCACTCCAGCTTTCCTTTAAACTAAAAAAGGGTTTAGTTTCTGATCTTTAGGCATTGTCTCATCATGGAAACATGTGGTTGATCTGTCTTGCTTTCTTGCCTGTGAGAGACACAGAGTGAAAGAAACTTCTGAGGATCCTCGCTCTGTGTTATAATAGGCTGATGCTCCTTAATCTGTAGTTCAAGGGTATCACTTAGAATAGGTGAACTCCATATGAAAATTAAAAAGAAGTTTATTAAAGTCTATTTAAGCAAACATGTTTTTAAGGACTTAATCCCTAAATATTCTCATAAGACGGCAGGCAGAACATAAAATCAAAAGTAAGCCTCCCACTCCACATCCTCATTGCAGATCCACTGCAAAGATGACTTACTTCACCTTCTCTGATTTACATTTTTCTGGTGGGTACCTACAACTACTCACTCCATTGTCTATAAGTTTGAGAGATAAACATAATTTCTCAATTGCTTGATCCATCAGTGTTCAGCAATAGTGAAAGGTGATTCCAGAAACAAAAGATGTAGTGTTTGCTCTTGTACAATACTAACTTACTACTTACTCCTATTTCTCTTTCTCTCCTAGTTCTTAAGAGTTTTATCATTTTAAACATTTTAACATTTCCATGGTTTATAGATTTGAGACTCTTTTTCTTTTTTGGAGACAGTGAGTCTTGCTCTGTCACTCAGGCTGGAATGCAGTGGTGTGATCTCAGCTCATTGCAATCTCCACCTCCCGAGTTCAAGCTTCCCAAGGAACTGGGACTGCAGGTGTGCACCACCACGCCCAGCAAATTTTTGTACTTTTTAGTAGAATCGGGTGTCACTATATGTTGGCCGGGCTGGTCTCGAACTGACCTCAGGTGATCCTCACCTGCCTTGGCCTCCCAGAGTGCTGGGATTACAGGTGTGAGCCACTGCGCCTGGCCCAGATTTGAGACTTCTGTGCTTTGCTTACGACTTGAAAAAATAAAATTCAACAGTATTTACATTATTAGGGTTGGGCAAATATTATTCATTGCAGAACCAAGTAGTGAAATTTGATCTGTAGAAAAAAAGAAATGTAATCTTAAACCATTACATTTGAGTCACTTTAAAGATAATTTTCTGCAAGTCAAGGCCAAGTGAATTCTCTCTCTTTTTTTTTTTTTACAGTCCATTAATTGTTTGTTGTAATGGCATATTTTAGATCAATTCATATTTAAACCATGAGGGGGTAAGCCTTTCAGATATCTGCCTGGGAGACTGAGGAGTTTGGAGAAAATGTCTAAGAGAAGAGATAATGAATAAGTCCGGACTGTTTGATCAATGAGGTTTTAATTGTCAGAGGAAAGAGGTCTATCATACGCTTATTACTATATCCAGGGAGGAAGCAAATAAATAAAACATAAGATAATTATTCTCAGTGAAATTTTTATAGGTTAGTTGAGGTATAGGGTATTATTGCTTTGATAATTTGATATACTGCTAACTGAATAAGGGTAAGAGAAATAATTACAGAACTCTATCCAGTGAAGTTCCCAGGATTTGAACAAAAACATTCAATGATATTGGCTTACAGGGCCTGATGGAGATGGTGGGGTTGGTGAACATAGTGTACAAGGGTGGCTGGAACATGGCAGAATCTAGTGGAAACAGCTACTTTATGCAATGGACATGGGGATATCAAGAAGAAGCAAATGTGGACCCAGCAAAAGTGGCAGTGCCTAGTAAGAGCTATAGCACTCAGTGAAAGCAATTCATGCCTGGGAGAAAGTATACCACTCACTGGAAGTTGTTGTGCCCAACAGATTTGACTATCCCTAGAAAAAGAAAATTGGTTTGGAAAATGAGAAAAAGGAGTTGATGTTATATGAAAGATGAACAGCCTTGTTCATGAGATTTTTCTGAGGACTTAATTAGGAGAGAGAGAGTAGAGGAAAAAAAAACTAGTCAAAAGTATATAAATACACACACACACACACACACACACACACACACACACACACACACACAGTATTTTACGTAGACCCTTGATAAATGTAGATACTTTGAGTTATATGAAGAAGTTTTTCTAGAGCAATATTACATTGTGGGAAAAAGTGTGAGAATTTGGTCAGAGGAAAAACTATGTTTGAAAAGCTCTTGAACAACTCTCTCTAAGATGATCTGAGCCTCATTTTTCTAATCTGTAAATTGGGAATAAGAAAACCCCCCTTTCTTACTAGGTGTTGTAAGAATGGACTACAGAGGTGTGAAAATCACATGTGAAACCTACTGGGTTTTACGACTGCTGGCCTTTCTTCTACAAAATAATCTAATTTTAGAAATACTTTTCTTTGGATACCTGACCCCCAAAATCTGGAGCTCAGACAAGCCTTCTTATTCCTTGTTTAGAAGGCAGCAGTGATAAATGTAATCTTTACTTATTAATACAGTTATCTGGCTTGGTGTACTGTAGGGTCAAATGTATCCTCAGTGTTTTGACTTATTCCAAGAACACTCAGAGAAAGACATTGGTTATGGTCCTGATAAATTAAAACCTTATTGCCCAGACTGTCCTAGGCAGAATTTTCTCCTGAGATGACAATTCAAATTCCCTATTCCTGACTACCGGGTGAATCAACACAACTTATGGATTTATTGACAAACTTATTGTTGAGACTTTAAAAAAAGAAATTAATTTTTGTTACTATAAGTCATCTGGATTTTTTCAATACTGATTGATTGTACTTATGTGAGGGTGGTAATCAGTACGATACAAGAGGAAGAACATTAGAATAGCATTTTTAAAAATGAAGAACTTAAACTGGGTTTATTCTCTTTTTTTTTGAGATGAAGTCTTGTTCTGTCATCCAGGCCAGAGTGCAATGGCGGTATCTCAGCTCACTGCAGCCTCCGCCTCCAGGGCTCATGTGATTCCCCTGCCTCAGCTTCCTGAGAAGCTGGCATTACAGGTGCCCACCGCCACGGTCTATTTTTTGTATTTTTAGTAGAGACGGGGTTTCACCATGTTGGTCAGGCTGGTCTTGAACTCCTGACCTTAGATGATCCACCTGTCTGGGCCTCCCAAAGTGCTGGGATTACAGGCATGAGCCACCAAGCCTGGCCTCTCTTATTTCTAATTAATAAATAATATTTATATTTATTTATGGGGTACAATGTGAAAAAGTCTATCAGGAAAACATTCACTGAAGTCTTAATTGTAGAACTAAAACTTGAAAATGAGTAGAATTTGGACATGTGAAGATGGGCCTAGATTTTAAGCCTCAGAAACCAGAAACATACAAAGGTTCTGAGGTCAAAAATCATGGCCCATGTACAAGAAATGGTGAAGAGTACTATTTGGCTTGAGTGTGACCATGAGAAACAGAATGTTAAACCGCCATTTAACATTGTAATGACTATGAGGCAGAATAAAAAAATGTTTCCTAGTATGCCATGTAGAAAAGCCACATGCAAAATTACACCTCTACACTGACTTCAGCTTTGTAAATTATGTCTGCTCATGAACAAAGGCTGAAAGGAAATGCTAACCCACAAAAAAATTTATAAACATATGATATCAGGCGAGATATTTCCATTTTTAAATTTTTTTGTTTGTTGGAATGCATAAATAGTTGGAAATGCATGAAAGTAGTTTGTGGATGGGTATATTTTATGAATGTGAGGGTTTCAGACATTTATACATATCCTAAAAATATAAATAACTTGTATGTGAAACTCAGTGTCCATTGCTCATGTTCTAATTTCTAGGAATCCAGCACAATGAAAATTCTAGAAATCCTCTTTTCATTTCTCATTTGAAAGGAGGTATAAAGTATATGTGCAAAGTGTCCCTGATTATAGAAAAAGACAAATCTAACACGTAACCATCTGATAGAAAGGGCTGATTTTTTAGCAGGGCATTATGATGAAAAAGCTTGGCTTTCTGTAAAAAAAAAAGTAAAATATGGAGAATTATTTAAATTGAAGTAATAAAATACAAAGATTAAATAACATTTCATAGATGCTGAATTATGTTTAAGGGACTCACTTATTAGGCAGTCTTGTGATAGAGGTAAAATATATCCATCTATTCAAAAAGCAGTTTATTGCCCACCTCACTGTCTTGCTAACCTCAGCATTTTCTCAAGGTAGTTGGAAGCAGAATTAGTTACCATAGTATTCATAGGTCTCTCCACATCTATCTTATTGCCAAGGAACTAGATTTGTTTGCAGGAAAAAAATGGAGAAGATGTCGTTGATTGGTATGACTTATTATAAAGCTGCATACTTATTTGGTGCTTTTACTAAATTAGATTTTTCTAATCATCAAAATATATATGTATGTATTGTTATCTTCTGCAATGAATTTGAATTCTCAGAGGCTATAGTCAAACATTAAGCAGAATAACTTACTTGACTAAATCATTAAATTTTATGCTGTTAAGATTGGAAAAAATTATACATCAAACCCCCTCATTTTATACAGTGGGAAACTGAGGACCAGAAAGAGCAATATTTCCCAATTTCACAGTGAAATCCAGTGGCAATGTAAGACTAGAAAAAAGTCTCCTTCTTTCCCATTTAGTAGTCTCTTTCTAAGTAACATACCATGTTTTTATTGGAAACACAGAGCAGGCTAAAGGATAACAATTATAAGCATGTCTTAGAACATTAAAGTGGGAAATTAAATTAGATTTATGGGAGAAAAAAATTAGATTTACTTCCCATTTAGAAAAGTAGTGATTAGCACATTACTCAATGATGGAAAGGGGCATTGTTAGGGAGTGACTTGGGGCTGATATGTGGCATCTTTATCTTTCTTATGTGTGCTTCACTATAATTACTCGCTAATGTCAACTAAACTGATGCTCTTCGAAAATGGCAATAGAAGGAACCAGTCAACAATTAATGCTGAAATATCTATTTGCTTTCTACCTTCACTAGCCCAGGAAAAGGCTCTAGAGGGCTACTATAGCATGACAAGTTCTTATTCTTTAGGAAATTAAACTCTAGTTAGAAAAAGAAGTATAAAATATACAATAAAGCAACAAATAATACTAAAAAATATACTTATTTGCAAGTTTATTGGGTATAATCACTAAGGAGACATACAAGTGACCAACAGACATAGGAAAAGTGCTCAACATCACTAATCATCAGAGAAATGCAAGTTTAAACCACAACGAAGTACCGTCTGACACCGGTCAGAATGGTTATTATTAAAAAGTCCAAAAACAAAAAACAGCTGTTGGTGAGGATATGGAGAGAATGAAATACTTATGTACTATTGGTGGGAATGTACATTGGTACCTCTATGGAGAACAGGATGGAGACTTCTCAAAGAACTAAAAATAGAACCACCATTAAATCATCAATCCCACTGTTGGGTACCTACCCAAGGGAAAATAAATCATTGTATCAAAAAATACCTGCAGAAAGAGGATGCAAAGCAAGATGTCCAAATAGAAGCCTTTACTAATCATCCTGAATGCAGGAATATTAAACTGAACCATTCACACACACACACACACACACACACACACACACACACACACACACACACACCCCACCTTCATAAGAACCGTAAATCAGGTGAGCCATCACAGTAACTGGTTTTAACATCATATCACTGAAGGAGACACTTAAGAGAATAGGACAGACAATCTTGAATTGCCAATGCCACCCTCTTCCATCCCCCAGCAGCAGCCACATGTCACAGAGACAGAATCTGTGCACTTGGGGGAGGAAGAGCACAGTAATGATGGAACTTTGCTCTAGAAATCAGTGCTGCCCTGTCACAGTGGAAAGCAGCACCAGGCAGAACTCAGGTGGAGTCCATGGAGGGAGCATTTAGACCTAGCCAGAGGGGAATTGCCCATTTCATAGTCAAAACCTGAGTTCTGGCAAGTCTGACCACTGAAGCCTAAAGTGCCCTGGGATTCTGAATAAACTTTAAAAGCAGTCTAGGGCACAAAGACTGCGATTCCTGCTCATGTCCTGGTGCTGTGCTGGGCTCAAGCAGACTTGGGGTACAAGCATCTTAGTGAGATACCAGCTTGGTCGGCCAAAGGGATTGCTTGCACCAACTCCAAACTCCAGGCAGCACAGCTTGTAGCTCCAGGAAAGACTCTTTCCCTCCTTGTGAGAAGAGGAAAGGAAAGAGCATAGAGGACTTTGTTTTAAAACTTGGGCTGGGCGTGGTGGCCTGTAATCCAAGCACTTTGGAGGCCAAGGCGGGCAGATCACCTGAGGTTGGGAGTTGAAGACCAGCCTGACCAACATGGTGAAACCCCGTCTTAATTAAAAAACAAAACAAACAAACAAACAAAAAACTTGGATACCGGCCTAGCCAGAGTAGGACAGAACACCAGCAGAGTTGTGAGGGTCCCATTTCAGGATTCCACTCCTAGATGACATTTCTAGACATACCCTGAGCCAGAGGGGAACCTACTACCTTGAAGGGAAGGATGGAGTCCTGGCAGGATTCAACGTCTGCTGACTAATGAGCCCTTGGGCCCTGGATAGTTGGCAGAGGTAGCCAGGAAGTACTTGCTGTGGACTTGGGTGAGACTCAGAGGTGTGCTGGCTTCAGGTGTGACCTAGTGCATTCCCAGCTATGCTGGCTATGGGGACAAACTCCTTCTGCTTGAGAAAAGGTGGTAGAAGAGTAAAAGGGACTTTATCTTACAGCTTAGGTATCAGCTTGGCCATAGTGGGATAGAGCACCAAGTGGGCTCTCGGGATCCACAATTCTGTACCTTGGCTCTTGGGTGGCATTTCTGGACCTGTGTTATGTCGCAGGGGAGCCCACTGCCCTGTGGAGCAAGTCCCAGGCCTGGCAGCATTTACAAGAAGCTGACTGAAGACCACTTGGGCCTTCAGGCTGATATGGTTCATCTCTGTGTTCCCACCAAAATCTCATCTTGAATTGTACTCCTGTATTCCCTCATGATGTAGGAGGGACCCAGTGGGAGATAATTTGAATCGTGGGGACAGTTTCTTCCATACTATTCTCATGGTACTGAATAAGTCTCAGGAGATCTGATGGTTTTATCAGGGCTTTCTACTTTTGCATCTTCCTCATTTCCTTTTGCTGCTGTGATGTAAGAAGTGCCTTTTGCCTCTTGATGTGGTTATGAGGCCTCCCCAGCCATGTGGAACTATAAGTCCAATTAAACCTTTTTCTTCCCAATCTCAGGTTTGTCTGTATCAGAAGTGTAAAAACGGACTAATACAGTATATTGTTACCCGCAGAGTGGGACGTTGCTGTAAAGATACCCGAATACGGAAGTGTCTTTGGAATTGGGTAGTAGGCAGAGGTTGGAATAGTTTGGAGTGCTCAGAAGAAGATAGAAAAATGTGGGAAAGTTTGGAACCTCCTAGAGACTTGTTAAATGCCTTTGACAAAAATGCTGATAATGATAAGAACAATGAGATCCAGGCTGAGGTGGTCTCAGATGGAGATGAGGAACTTGTTGGGAATTAGAGCAAAGGTGATTCTTGTTATGTTTCAGCAAAGAGATTGGCTGCATTTTGCCCCCTGCCCTAGAGATTTGTGGAACTTTGAACTTGAGAAATATAATTTAAGGTATCTGGCAGAAAGAAATTTCTAAGTGGCAAAGCATTCAAAAGGTGACTTGGGTGCTGTTAAAAGCATTCCATTTTAAAAGGGAAACAGAACATAAAAGTTTGGAAAATTTGCAGCCTGACAATGTGATAGAAAAGAAAATTCTATTTTCTGAGGAGAAATACAAACCAGCTGCAGAAATTTGCATAAGTAACAAGGAGCTGAATGTTAATGCCCAAGACAATGGGGAAAATGTCTCCAGGGCATGTCATAGGTCTTCATGGCAGCTCTTCACATCACAGACCCAGAAGCCTAGGAGGAAAAAATGATTTTGTGGGCCAGCCCAGGGTCCCCATGCTGTGTGCAGTCTAGGGACTTTGTGCCCTACATCCCAACGGCTCCATCTGTTGCTAAAAGGGACCAAGCTACAGCTCAGCCCATGGGTTCATGGGGTGCAAGCCCCAAACCTTGGCAGCTTCCACGTGATATTGAGCCTGCAGGTACACAGAAGTCAAGAATTGAGGTTTGGGAACCTCCACGTAGATTTCAGAGGATGTATGAAAATGCCTGGATGCCCAGGAAAACATTTGCTGCAGGCACGGGGCTCTCATGGAGAACCTCAGCTAGGGCAGTGTGGAAAGGAAATGTGGGGTCAGAGCCCCCACACAGATAGGTGCCGCTGGGCACCACCTATTGGAGCTGTGAGAAGAAGGTCACTGTCCTCCAGACCCCAGAATGGTAGATCCACTGACAGCTTGCACCGTGTGCCTGGAAAAGCCACAGACACTCAACACCAGCCCATGAAAGCAGGTGGGGGGCGCTATACTTTGCAAAGCCACAGGGGTGGTGGAATTGCCCAAGACTGTAGGAACCTACCACTTGCATCAGCGTAATCTGAATGTGAGACATGGAGTTAAAGGAGATCATTTTGTAGCTTTAGAATTTGATGCCCTGCTGGATTTCAGACTTGCATGCACCCTGTAAACCTCTTTGTTTTGGGCAATTTCTCCAGTTTGGAATGACTGTATTTACCCAATATCTGTACCCCCATTGTATCTAGGAAGTAACCAACTTGCTTTTGATTTTACAGGATTGTAGGTGGAAGGAACCTGCCTTGTCTCAGATGAGACTTCAGACTGTGGACTTCTGGGTTAATGCCGAAATGAGTTAAGACTTTGGGGGACTGTTGGGAAGGCATGATTGGTTTTGAAATGTGAAGACATGAGATTTGGAGGGGCCAGGGGCAGAGTGATATAGTTCAGTTTGGTGTCCCCACCCAAATCTCATCTTGAGTTATACTCCTGTAATTCCCACATGTTGTGGGAAGGACCTGGTGGGAGACAATTTGAATTACGTGTGGTTTCCCCCATACTGTTCTTATGGTAGTGAATAAGTCTCACAACATCTGATGGTTTTATCAGTGGTTTCTGCTTTTGCATCTTCCTCATTTTCTCTTGCTGCCACCATGTAAGAAGTGCCTTTGCTTCCTGCCATGATTCTGAGGCCTCCCCTGCCACATAGAACTGTAAGTCCAATTAAACCTCTTTTTCTTCCCAGTCTCGGCTATGTCTTTGTCAGCAGCATGAAAATGGACTAATATACGTACTGATGGTATTTGCTGTGGGCCTGAGGCAGTGTTGACCATGGGGAGAGACCCCTCTGCTTGTGGAAAAGGGAAAGGAGAATAAAAAGGACTTTGTTTTGTTGCCTATGTACCAGATCAGCCAGAGTACAATAGAACACCAGGTAGATTTTCTAATGTTTCTGACTCCAGCCTTGGATCTCAAGTGGACTTTCTGGACCTACCCATAGCTAGGGAAGTCTTTCTGTCCTGAAGGAAAGAATACACCCTATCTGGCTTCCCTACCTGCTGATGGTACAGCTTTAAGGCATTGATCAATCATTGGTGTTTGCCAGGCAGCCACTACCACAGGCCTTGGGTGAGACCCAGTAGCATGCTGCTTTCAGGACTGATCCAGAGCAGTTCCAGTGGTAGTGACTACAACAGTGCTATCGTACTTCTCCCACAGCTCCAGGTGGCTTAGCAGAGAGAGAGAGAGAGAGAGAGACAGAAACTCCCTTTGTTTGGGAGAAAGTAAGGGACAAGGATGAGAATCTCTGCCTGGGCAATCCATATAATTATGCAATCAGTATTAAGTTGTCTTCAGTTTAAAATAATAGGCTATAAGATATTATTTTTAAACCTAATGGTAACCTTAAATCAAAAAACATACAACAGATACACAAAAAATAAAAAGCAATAAATTAAAACATACCACTAGAGAAAATCACCTTCACTCAAAAGAAGACAGGAGGAAGAAAAAAAGAAGACACAACCACAAAACAACTGGAAAACAGATAACAAAATAACAGGAGTAAGTCCTTAATTATAAATAATAACATTGAATGTAAATAGACTAAGCTATTCAAAAGACATAGAGTGGCTAAATGGATTAAAAACTAACAGACCCAACAATCTGTTGCCTGCAAGAAACACACCTCAGCCATCAAGACATAGACTGAAAATAAAGGGAAGACACAAAGAAGTCATTATTTAATAATAAAGGAGTCAATTCAGCAAGAGGGTATAAGAATTGTAAATATAAATACACCCAACCCTAGAACA